ATGTATTATTTTGGAACGCCACATACACATTTTTAGAATCAAAATAACAATAATCCTCTTTTAACATTTTTGAAGCCCTAAGTCCCAAAATTACCCAACTTCAACACTTTATCAAAACACCAAAATCTATGTCAAAGACCATAAGAGTGAGTAGGAATCCCTACCTCAATCGGACTCAAGGAAAAGAAGATGAAAGAACCTCAACGTGCTCCAAAACCTCAATACATCTCGAGATCAAAACGTAAGCCCCTGCGACGATCAACCCAACTTTTTACAAATGGACCGAAGGGGAGACGAGGAAGCACTCCTACTAGATCAAACCAATAGAGAGAAGGGTAGTTTCTAAAGAGAGTTGAGAGGCATCTCGAATATCTTTTTGGAAAGTAAGAAGAGAGAAGAGAGAGAATATTAAAAAGTGATTTTAAAATGCCCAGCTGCCAACTGATATACGACATTTCCGCTCGAGCGGAGAACATAATGCTCGAGCATCAAAAACAAAAAACTAGGTCCGCTCGAGCGCAAGAAGGCCCGCTCGAGCACCAAGACACAAGAATAAAGTACATCCGCTCGAGCGCGAAAACCAGTCCGCTCGAGCGTAGATTTCCCCCTCCCAGAACTTACAACAAAAAGTACTACCCGCTCGAGCGCTACCGCTCGAGCGTAAAAATCACACCTGCAGAAGTTTTGCATGGACACGAAAAACTGGGAGCGTGCAATCTCCGCTCGAGTGCAAGAAGACCCGCTCGAGCGGACTTCCTAAAATCTGGGCAACAAAGAATTGAAACCAAAGCCTAACCAACCTGTAACAACTCTGCCCAATACATCCTAAAACTCAATCAAGTGGAATTAAAGGATGACAACAAGGTATACAACCACCAACATCACGGAACCCAAGTCCGGAAAAACATAAATACAGAAAGGTAAAACCGGAATCGCCATAGTCTGTGGCTGTCAAGAAGAAGTGGGGCCACCCCGTATACGTTATTGACTATGACAGAAAGACTGCTTCTAGCCTAAGTGACCGGTTCCATCTTCTTGCCTCTATATTCACAATTATTAGTTTTGCATTATACATGAAGTCGCTTATGCCAACCAAGCCTAAGGAGGAGGTCAGAACTTTGCCGAATAGCCTTACAGTTACCATCAAAAGCTTGAAGACGGACATTGCAAGTGACATGAAGGTGATAGGGAGCAATTTGGAGACAATAAAGAATCATATCAGGGAGGTCAAAAGAGAAAAAGTGTAGCTTCAAGTTTAGGTAGAGACAGCTCCATTGAGATTTCCATGGAGGGAAACATTTAGAACATTTGCTAATGCTAAGAACAAAAAATAAAAACAAATATAGATCATAGAAGGTGTATTGACCTCTTTGAGATTTAAATTGAATGTGAATTCATCATAATTGATTTTAATTCTGTTGCTTCTGATGTAGAAGTTACTGTATTAGCTACTGTTGTGATGGGTGCATCTTCTGCCATTCGTTTTATGTGACCATAGATAGATAATTTAAATATTATATAATTGTATTACATTAATGTATTAACTTGGCTCTGATACCAATATAAGGTGCTCGACATACAGGGATGAGGCTAAGCACGTCTGTCAACGGTTTACTAGGAGACAGACCTAAATGTAATCTCTGCAAAGATGGTCTTTACACCTAACCGCGACATGGGTGACGTCCCACTTAACCTTTCTTTGTTCTACCCTTATTCAGCACAAACCTAGGAAAATAAATCAACATAATACAAGTATATGACAAACAAATTATAACATATATGGTCTCATGATTTACTGTTGAGGTGGAGGCCTAATGGCGGCCGCCCACACAAATATGTTCTTGGATTTACTGTTCTATTCTGTCAATCTGCTGATCATAGAATTCTAACTGTTGAGTAGCCCAAGGCTGGGGATACGAGTCTTGAATAACAGTTAAATAATGATTAAGACTAGTAATATAAAAATCTAAAACATGTAAAACGTCAACAAGTAAATTCACAAAGGGCATACATTAAGTACTTACTAACATTTATGTCTTCAAAACAGCATAAGTCTTCAACACTTAATTTATATATTGAAGAAATTTTATTACAATAGAGAGATTACATGGAGAAAGAGTGGGGAAAACCAAATTAAAAGATATTCTGCCTCAACAAGGGTGAGGTCTTTTTCTTTTATAGACAAAGGAAATAAAGATAAAAGATAAGGTGAGGACAGGTGGCGTGTCCTTCCTAGGTGGAGTTGATCGTCCTTATCCTCTGGCCAATTGGGAATCTCCAGGTTCCTTATCTTCTTTGGATGGATATGAGATTTTTATTTCTCTTTTCTGGATGGCAGACAAAGAATCTGCCTTTGCCGAAAGGAGTTTTGTCGTTTTATACCGACATTCTGTCCAAACAAACACAAACATGGAAGATCACCGTGTGTTCAAACAGTGACGTCCAAGTCTTGAGGACGGTCAAAAATGGGGTGTCTACACATACTAGTTAGAGAATCCCAATTTACTCTTATTTTTCTCTTTTACATGAAGACATTAATCTATTTAAGTAACGTTTTAAAATTAGGAAATAATTTTCGTTGGTCCATAGTTGTTTTTAAACCATCTTCTAGAAGAAAAAGAAAAAAGAATTGGATTCAGTCATTCTCAAGCTAAAAGTATGTTTTAATATTATGTATTAAATAATGTATTTAAGTAATGTTTTAAAATTATGTTTTAAATATTCTCAATGATTGTTTATTGTTTTTATTTTTTTTGGTATAAATTTTGTTTTTATTTATTTATTTCTGTAATAAATTTTATAATTGTTTAAGAATTTTGAATTTGTGTCATTGAATGAAAAAAATAATTTGTGTCATAGAATTTTGAATTTTGAATTTGCTTATGATTTGTAACTGATACCAACTCACTATTTTGATATGACACTTATTGAATTAATAAACATTATATTATGATATGAATGGAATTATTTGACATATTTTTCCAACTAGGTGAAAAAAATATTAGTCTTATTTTTCTCTTTTACACGAAGACATTAATATATTTAAGTAATGTTTTAAAATTATGAAATAATTTTCTTTGGTTTATAATTGGTTTTAAACCATCTTCTAGAAGAAAAATAAAAAAGAATTGGATTCAGTCTTTCTCAAGCTAAAAGTATGTTCTAATATTATGTATTAAATAATGTATTTAAGTAAAGTTTTAAAGTTATATTTTAAATATTCCCAATGATTGTTTATTGTTTTTATTTATTTTGGTATAAATTATGTTTCTATTTATTTATTTATTTATTTTATTTATTTTGGGAATAAATTTTATAATTGTTTAAGAATTTTGAATTTGTGTCATAGAATTTTCAGTTTTGAATTTTAAATTTGCTCATGATTTGTAACTGATATCAACTCACTACTTTGATATGATACTTATTAAATTAATAAACATTATATTATGATATGAATGGAATTATCTGACATACTTTGTCCAACTAGGCGAAAGAAAATATTAGTCTTATTTTTCTCTTTTACACGAAGACATTAATATATTTAGGTTAAAACATGTATTTAAGTAATGTTTTAAATATTCGCAATGATTGTTTTTTTTTCTGGTATAAATTTTGTTTTTATTTATTTATTTTGGGAATAAATTTTGTAATTGTTTAAGAATTTTGAATTTGTGTCATAGAATGAAAACATGTAAAATTTGCTTTATTAATCTTGTTATTGGAATTGTTTTAGTTATCAAATATCACTTAGATTACTTTTTAAGTAAAATAATTTCTGAGTTAAATACCTTATTGCAATTTGCAAATCGTAGTGATTTCTTTCTCTCTTTTTTTTTTTCTTTTTTTTTCGGTGACATTGTCAAAATTATTTCCATCAGCTGATAAGTCTGTGGCTGTCAAGAAGAAGTGGGGCCGCCCCGCATATGTTATTGACTACGATAGAAAGACTGCTTCTAGCCTAAGTGAACGGTTCCGTCTTCTTGCCTCTATATTAACAATTATTAGTTTTGCATCATACATGAAGTCACTTATGCCAACCAAGCCTAAGGAGGAGCTCGGAACTTCGCCGAATTGTCATACAGTTACCATCAAATGCTTGAAGACGGACATGGCAAGTGACATGAAGGTGATGGAGAGCAATTTGGAGACAATAAAGAATGATATCAAGGTGGTCAAAAGAGAAAAAGTGTAGCTTCAAGTTTTGGTAGAGATAGCTCTATTGAGATTTCCATGGAGGGAAACATTTAGAACATTGGCTAATGCTAAGAACAAAAAATAGAAATAAATATAGATCATAGAAGGTGTATTGACCTCTTTGAGATTTACATTGATTGTGAATTCATCATAATTGATTTTAATTCTGTTGCTTCTGATGTAGAAGCTACTGTATTAGCTACTGTTGTGATGGGTGCTTTTTCTGCCATTAGTTTTATGTGACCATAGATGGATAATTTAAATATTATATAATTGTATTACATTAATGTATTAACTTGGCTCTGATACCAATATAAGGTGCTCGACATACAGGGATAAGGCTAAGCACGTCTGTCAACGGTTTACTAGGACACAGACCTAAATGCAATCTCTGCAAAGATGGTCTTTAAACCTAACCACGACTTTGTGACGTCCCACTTAACCTTTCTTTGTTCTACTCTTATTCAGCACAAACCCAGGAATATAAATCAACATAACACAAGTATATGACAAACAAATCAAAACATATATGGTCTCATGATTTACTGTTGAGGTGGAGGCCTAACGGCGGCCGCCCACACACAAATATGTTCTTGGATTTGCTGTTGTATTCTGTGAATCTGCTGATCATAGAATTCTAGCTGTTGAGTAGCCCAAGGCTGGGGATACGAGTCTTGAATAATAGTTAAATTATGAATAAGACTAGTAATATCAAAATCTAAAACATGTAAAACATCAACAAGTAAATTCATAGAGGGCATACATTAAGAAATACTTACAAACATTTATGTCTTTAAAACAGCATAAGTCTTCAACACTTAATTTATATATTGAAGAAATTTTATTACAAGAGAGAGCTTACATGGAGAGAGAGTGGGGAAAACCAAATTAAAAGATACTCTGCCTTAACAAGTGTGAGGTCTTTTTCTTTTATAGACAAAGGAAATAAAGATAAAAGATAAGGTGAGGACAGGAGGCGTGACCTTCATGGGTGGAGTTGATCGTCCTTATCCTCTGGCCAATTGGGAATCTCCAGCTTCCTTATCTTCTTTGGATGGATATGAGATTTTTATTTCTCTATTCTGGATGGCAGACAAAGAATCTGCCTTTGCCGAAAGAAGTCTTGTCGTTTTATACTGACGTTTTGGTTGATGGATTCCGGTGGGGGACAAAGCCTTATGCTTTGCCTTTTCCTTTTTTGTCTTTTTCTTTAGTGATTTTCTCTGCAATCATACTAGTTAGAGAATCCCAATTTACTCTAATTTTTCTCTTTTACACGAGGACATTAATCTATTTAAGTAATGTTTTAAAATTATGAAATAATTTTCTTTGGTCCATAATTGTTTTGAAACCATCTTCTAGAAGAAAAAGAAAAAAGAATTGGATTCAGTCATTCTCAAGCTAAAATTATGTTTTAATATTATGTATTAAATAATGTATTTAAGTAATGTTTTAAAATTATGTTTTAAACATTTTCAATGATTGTTTATTGTTTTTATTTTTTTTGGTATAAATTATTTTTTTATTTATTTGTTTGGGTAATAAATTTTATATTTGTGTAAGAATTTTGAATTTGCTTATGAGTTGTAACTGATACCAACTCACTACTTTGATATGATATTTATTGAATTAATAAACATTATATTATGATATGAATGGAATTATCTGACATACTTTGTCCAACTAGGTGAAAAAAAATATTACTCTTATTTTCTCTTTTACACGAAGATATTAATATATTTAAGTAATGTTTTAAAATTATTAAATAATTTTCTTTGGTTTATAATTTGTTTTAAACCATCTTCTAGAAAAAAAAATAAAAAAGAATTGGATTCAGTCATTCTCAAGCTAAAAGTATGTTCTAATATTATGTATTAAATAATGTATTTAAGTAAAGTTTTAAAATTATGTTTTATATATTCCCAATGATTGTTTATTGTTTTTATTTTTTTTGGTATAAATTATGTTTCTATTTATTTATTTATTTATTTTGGGAATAAATTTTGTAATTGTTTAAGAATTTTGAATTTGTGTCATAGAATGAAAAAATGAAATTGTGTCATAGAATTTTGAATTTCGAATTTTGAAGTTGCTCATGATTTGTAGCTGATACCAACTCACCACTTTGATATGATACTTATTGAATTAATAAACATTATATTATGATATGAATGGAATTATCTGACACACATTGTCCAACTAGGTGAAAGAAAATATTAGTCTTATTTTTCTCTTTTACACAAAGGCATTAATGTATTTTGGTTAAAACATGTATTTAAGTAATGATTTAAATATTCGCAATAATTGTTTTTTTTTCTGGTATAAATTCTGTTTTTATTTATTTATTTTGGGAATAAATTTTGTAATTATTTAAGAATTTTGAATTTGTGTCATAAAATGAAAACATGTAAAATTTGCTTTATTAATCTTGTTATCAGAATTGTTTTAGTTTTCAACTATCACTTAGATTACTTTTTAAGTAAAATAATTTTTGAGTTAAATACTTGATTGTAATTGGCAAATCGTAGTGATTTCTTTCTCTCTTTTTTTTCTTTTTTTTTTCTAGTGACACTGTCAAAATTATTAGCATCAGCTGATAAGTCTATGGCTGTCAAGAAGAAGTGAGGCCACCCCGTATACGTTATTGACTATGACAGAAAGACTGCTTCTAGCCTAAGTGACCGGTTCCATCTTCTTGCCTCTATATTCACAATTATTAGTTTTGCATCATACATAAAGTCGCTTATGCCAACCAAGCTTAAGGAGAAGCTCAGAACTTCGCCGAATAGTCTTACAGTTACCATCAAAAGCTTGAAGACGGACATTGCAAGTGACATGAAGGTGATAGAGAGCAATTTGGAGACGATAAAGAATGATATCAGGGAGGTCAAAAGAGAAAAAGTGCAGCTTCAAGTTTTGGTAGAGACAGCTCTATTGAGATTTCCATGGAGAAAAACATTTAGAACATTTGCTACTGCTAAGAACAAAAAATAAAAACAAATATAGATCATAGAAGGTGTATTGACCTCTTTGAGATTTACATTGAATGTGAATTGATCATAATTGATTTTAATTCTGTTGCTTCTGATGTAGAAGCTACTGTATTAGCTACTGTTGTGATGGGTGCTTCTTCTACCATTCGTTTTATGTAACCATAGATGGATAATTTAAATATTATATAATTGTATTACATTAATGTATTAACTTGGCTCTGATACCAATATAAGGTGCTCGACATACAGGGATAAGCACATCTGTCAACGGTTTACTAGGACACAGCCCTAAATGCAATCTCTCCAAAGATGGTCTTTAAACCTAACCGCGACTTGGGTGACGTCCCACGTAACCTTTCTTTGTTCTACCCTTATTCAGCACAAACCCAGGAATATAAATCAACATAATACAAGTATATGTCAAACAAATTATAGAATATATGGCCTCATGATTTACTGTTGAGGTGGAGGCCTAACGACGGCCGCCCACACACAAATATGTTCTTGGATTTGCTGTTGTATTCTGTGAATCTGCTGATCATAGAATTCTAACTGTAGAGTAGCCCAAGGCTGGGGATACGGGTCTTGAATAACAGTTAAATAATGATTAAGACTAGTAATATAAAAATCTAAAACATGTAAAACGTCAACAAGTAAATTCACAGTGGGCATACATTAAGAAATACTTACAAACATTTATGTCTTCAAAACAGAATAAGTCTTCAACACTTAATTTATATATTGAAGAAATTTTATTACAAGAGAGAGCTTACATGGAGAGAGAGTGGGGAAAAGCAAATTAAAAGATATTCTGCCTCAACAAGGGTGAGGTCTTTTTCTTTTATAGACAAAGGAAATAAAGTTGAAAGATAAGGTGAGGACAGGTGGCGTGTCCTTCATAGGTGGAGTTGAACGTCCTTATCCTCTGGCCAATTGGGAATCTAGAGCTTCCTTATCTTCTTTGGATGAATATGAGATTTTTATTTCTCTTTTCTGGATGGCAGACAAAGAATCTTCCTTTGCCGAAAGGAGTTTTGTCGTTTTATACCGACTTTCTGGTTGGTGGATTCCTGTGCGGGACAAAGCCTTATGCTTTGCCTTTTCCTTTTTTGTCTTTTTCTTTATTGATTTTCTCTGCAATCATACTAGTTAGAGAATCCCAATTTACTCTTATTTTTCTCTTTTACACGAAGACATTAATCTATTTAAGTAACGTTTTAAAATTATGAAATAATTTTCTTTGGTCCATAATTGTTTTTAAACCATCTTCTAGAAGAAAAAGAAAAAAGAATTGGATTCAGTCATTCTGAAGCTAAAAGTATGTTTTAATATTATGTATTAAATAATGTATTTAAGTAATGTTTTAAAATTATGTTTTAAATATTCTCAATGATTTTATGTTTTTATTTATTTATTTCGGTAATAAATTTTATAATTGTTTAAGAATTTTGAATTCGTGTCATTGAATGAAAAAAATAATTTGTGTCATAGAATTTTGAATTTTGAATTTTGAATTTTGAATTTGCGTATGATTTGTAACTGATACCAACTCACTATATTGATATGATACTTATTGAATTAATAAACATTATATTATGATATGAATGGAATTATCTGACATACTTTGTCCAACTAGGTGGAAAAAAATATTAGTCTTATTTTTCTCTTTTACACGAAGACATTAATATATTTAAGTAATGTTTTAAAATTATGAAATAATTTTCTTTGGTTTATAATTGGTTTTAAACCATCTTCTGGAAGAAAAATAAAAAAGAATTGGATTCAGTCATTCTCAAGCTAAAAGTATGTTCTAATATTATGTATTAAATAATGTGTTTATGTAAATTTTTAAAATTATGTTTTAAATATTCCCAATGATTGTTTATTGTTTTTATTTTTATTTTTTTGGTATACATTATGTTTCTATTTATTTATTTATTTATTTTGGGAATAAATTTTACAATTGTTTAAGAATTTTGAATTTGTGTCATAGAATGAAAAAATGAATTTGTGTCGTAGAATTTTCAATTTTGAATTTTAAATTTGCTCATGATTTCTAACTGATACCAACTCGCTACTTTGATATGATACTTATTTAATTAATAAACATTATATTATGATATGAATGGAATTATCTAACATACATTGTCCAACTAGGTGGATGAAAATATTAGTCTTATTTTTCTCTTTTACACGAAGACATGAATATATTTAGGTCAAAATATGTATTTAAGTAATGTTTAAAATATTCGCAATGATTTTTTTTTCTGGTATAAATTCTGTTTTTATTTATTTATTTTGGGAATAAATTTTGTAATTGTTTAAGAATTTTGAATTTGTGTCATAGAATGAAAACATGGAAAAGTTTCTTTATTAATCTTGTTATTGGAATTGTTTTAGTTTTCAAATATCACTTAGATTACTTTTTATGTAAAATAATTTCTGAGTTAAATACTTGATTGTAATTGGCAAACCATAGTGATTTCTTTCTCTCTTTTTTTTCTTTTTTTTTTTCTAGTGACACTGTCAAAATTATTAGCATCAGCTGATAAGTCTGTGGCTGTCAAGAAGAAGTGGGGCCACCCCGTATATGTTATTGACTAGGACAGAAAGACTGCTTCTAGCCTAAGTGACCGGTTCCATCTTCTTGCCACTATATTCACAATTATTAGTTTTGCATCATACATGAAGTTGCTTATGCCAACCAAGCCTAAGGAGGAGCTCAGAACTTCACCGAATAGTCTTACAGTTACCATCAAAAGCTTGAAGACGGACATTGCAAGTGACATGAAGGTGATAGAGAGCAATTTGGAGACAATAAAGAATGATATCAGGGAGGTCAAAAGAGAAAAAGTGTAGCTTCAAGTTTAGGTAGAGACAACTCCATTGAGATTTCCATGGAGGGAAACATTTAGAACATTTGCTAATGCTAAGAACAAAAAATAAAAACAAATATAGATCATAGAAGGTGTATTGACCTCTTTGAGATTTACATTGAATGTGAATTCATCATAATTGATTTTAATTCTGTTGCTTCTGATGTAGAAGTTACTGTATTAGCTACTGTTGTGATGGGTGCTTCTTCTGCCATTTGTTTTATGTGACCATAGATAGATAATTTAAATATTATATAATTGTATTACATTAATGTATTAACTTGGCTCTAATACCAATATAAGGTGGTCGACATACAGGGATGAGGCTAAGCACGTCTGTCAATGGTTTACTAGGACACAGACCTAAATGTAATCTCTGGAAAGATGGTCTTTAAACCTAACCGCGACTTGGGTGACGTCCCACTTAACCTTTATTTGTTCTACCCTTATTCAGCACAAACCCAGGAATATAAATCAACATAATACAAGTATATGACAAACAAATTATGACTGCGCGTATATCAGTTCATAACAATCACATTTTATATCACTTTTCCATCTCTTTCTCTCTCTAAAACTCTCCAAAACCATAGATCTTGAGTTTATCTCTCTAAAACTCATCTTCTCTCTACTATTTCACCTAGATCCATTGGGTTCTCCACCTTAGTGCCTTTGAGAAAAAGATAGAGCATTCCTAGAGCTCCGTCTTGATCCGAACAAAGATTGGTTTCGGCACTTTTGAAGTTTCTCTCTTGCTCCCTTGGCCTTCTAAGCTTAAGGTAGGGACTTCTACACTCTTCTATGAGTTTTAACTTGGTTATTTGTTGGTAGGTAAGAAATGTTTAGGCTTGTTGTGATTTTGAACAAACCTAAGGTTTTGGGTTAAAATCAAAAGAGGGGTTTTCGAATTAACGTATTAGAAATGATTATGGGAGTAGATATGAGCTTATGTTGTGTTAAAATGGTTGATTTTTGTGTTTGGAATGAGATTGGGAAAAAGAAGGTCGTGCCCTAAATTGTCTTGAATAATTATTTTGCATAAATAATGAAATTGGTATTGGAAATATGAAATTGGATGGATGTTTATATAAATGATGGAATTAGATATGTATTATCTCGCACCTATGGAAATTTAGACAATTTATCTGTTATAAAGATTGTTTATCTATTTAGAAATATCTATTTTGGGCTATCGGCAGAGGGTAGCCAGGATTGTTGTAGAAATTGTATATGGATTAGGCAAATTGAAACAAATCTCTTAGCCATTATCATTGAATATGATTATGATTTATATAGATGGTACATGTATGATGTTTGGAAGGAGAAAGGAGATGTACTCCATGTTTGGGAGGAGAAAGGGATGGACTCCATTAAACTAAGTTGGCCTGTGTATCCAGGGTAAAAGTCTCGAAAACCGCGCGTATACATGGGTGCTGATTCACGCAGACGAAATTTTCGTAAAATGGCAAGTGAATGTATTTTGTATGATAATTATGTTGGTTGGAGGCCTATGGGGTGTATCCTCTGTTTGGTTGACTAAGTGAAGTGGGTATAACTAATGAATTGATATGTAAGTTTGACATAACATGGTTTTGGAGAAGGTTGTAAAAGATCTGTCATTTGGAAATTGAACATGTGCATCATACTTATATCTTTGTTAATATTCATATATTGGGTTAGATTGTTTCTACTAGGGTTTGGCTCACCCTACTTGGAAAATCATTTTCACGTGCTGGTAACATGTCTCCTCCAAGGACTTAGCTTGGAAGGACCTGGGAGCTAAAGGCTCTGTTTTGTCATTTTGTATTTAATATTTGTACAAGCCTAGGGTTTTATGTCACGCCCCAAAATTTGAGACCGCAAGAGAAATATATAAAGTACAACTCAAACAAAAGAGATAACCACAATATTTTAATATACACATATAAGTAGAGTTATAACATAGATAACTGATTTGAGTTCCACTAGAGGTTTACAAAACACTGTCAAACCAAAAGGTCAAAGGAGAGATAAAACAAACACAAACTACTAGTTCAAATTTTTCAAGTGAACCACGGCTCTAAAACTTCATCTTGATTGTCTTCGGAATAACCCTCCCCGTCGTAAGCTGTCTCTTCACCTGGCATAACACGCCATGAGCTTGGAATGCCCAGTAAAAACACACACACCCCTATATCTTCTATCAATCAATCAACCATACACTAAACAAATTAGGAAACATAACATACTTACGTTAAGATTTTATGAATTAGTAGTTAGACTAGGCATCTAGAACCCCCCAAAGAGATCCTTCTACCCAACCACAAGATTAAACACCGGACTACTCAGAACTCCCCCTTTTGCTTCTTTGCAGACCTTACCACCCACGCCCACCTCCCGGTTATTTACCAGTCAGCGACATCGATGGACCTCAAAAGGGACGGCCAAACAAGTGGGCTCGCTTACACCCTGCACATACCATACCAAAGGGCTCGCTTACACCCTGAAACCACCGTAAATTAGTGCCGGTGAATCGGTTGTCACAAATTGTGGTATAAACCTCAGTGACATCATCAACAATTTTTTCTAAGGCAGCCTCATTTTGAAAATAGCATTGTACATCTCCTGTTTCAACTCCAATAATTTGTGCGAAAGCGCGGAGTTCTAAAACACTAAGACGAACGTCACCCATTGCAGCCCCTTATCATTTCCCGTTTATTAGATCTTTTGCTAGGTAAGTTAGTCACGTTCGGTAATTCGGTCACATAAAAGAGTATGAGAAAAACATACGAGAGGAAATATAGTCCATGATCGTCATTCATAAGTATAGTAAGGCAAGAAAACAACATTAGAAATGCTTTGAAACACTTAGAGACAATTAACATAATAGAACACAATTTCCAGCACTGTTCGGTTCTGCAAGGCTAACAAGAACGCTTTGGTAAAAATACTTCTAGGTCACATTAGGGGCTGAAATTGCACATAAACAACATTAAATCTGTCTAGTTTTAGTTCCAATTTTCAGAAGTTGCACAGCCCCTCCACAAATTTATCTACAAACTATATACGAAAACCTGTCCAGATTTGTCACCCTTTGGGAAAACTAACGTTTCTCTCAATCTACCCGACGGTTTTCACTCAAATAAATTCTGTTGGAAAGAGGACTCAGAGTTCTAAATTTTGACAGAAGAACCAACATGAGATGATTTTTCTAGAAGTTTATAAAATTGCTAAAAGTGGACTGTTTTTCAGAGATTCAGGACCAGATTTTTCAACAAATTATTCAAGCCCTAAAAACACACAATTAGGAGATAATAAAATTGTCACAAGCTCTAAACACATAAAATATCCTACAATAAATTCAGATTTGAGAATTAGACAGATTTGGTATTTCTTTTAAATTAGAGAAGTTGCAGCAGTGCCTAATTTCACAAATTTGCA